TCCTCAATACTTCAGGACATTACGGTAACTGTAATGGGAGATATATAGATCCTCAATACTTCAGGACATTACAGTAACTGCGAAGAGTGATATATAGATCTCAATACTTCAGGACGGTAACTGCGAAGGGAGATATATAGATCCCCAATACTTCAGGAAATTACAGTAACTGCGAAGGGAGATATATAGATCCTCAATACTTCAGGACATTACAGTAACTGCGAAGGGAGATATATAGATCCTCAATACTTCAGGACATTACAGTAACTGTGAAGGGAGATATATAGATCCTCAATACTTCAGGACATTACGGTAACTGTGAAGGGAGATATATAGATCCTCAATACTTCAGGACATTATGGTAACTGTGATGATAGATATATAGATCCTCAATACTTCAGGACATCAGGTAACTGTGATGTGAGATATATAGATCCTCAATACTTCAGGACATTATGGTAACTGCGAAGGGAGATATATAGATCCTCAATAGTTCAGGACATTACGGTAACTGTGATGGGAGATATATAGATCCTCAATACTTCAGGGCATTACGGTAACTGTGATGGGAGATATATAGATCTCAATACTTCAGGACATTACGGTAACTGTAATGGGAGATATATAGATCCTCAATACTTCAGGACATTACGGTAACTGTGACTGGAGATATATAGATTCTCAATACTTCAGGACATTATGGTAACTGTAATGGGAGATATATAGATCCTCAATACTTCAGGACATAACGGTAACTGTGATGGGAGATTTAAGATCCTCAATAGTTCAGGACATTACGGTTACTGTGATGGGAGATATATAGATCCTCAATACTTCAGGACATTACGGTAACTGTGATATGAGATTTAAGATCCTCAATAGTTCAGGACATTACGGTTACTGTGATGGGAGATATATAGATCCTCAATACTTCAGGACATTACGGTAACTGTGATGGGAGATATATAGATCTCAATACTTCAGGACATTATGGTAACTGTGATGATAGATATATAGATCCTCAATACTTCAGGACATTATGGTAACTGTGATGTGAGATATATAGATCTTCAATACTTCAGGACATTATGGTAACTGCGAAGGGAGATATATAGATCCTCAACACTTCAGGACATTACAGTAACTGCGAAGGGAGATATATAGATCCTCAATACTTCAGGACATTACAGTAACTGCGAAGAGAGATCTATAGATCCTCAATACTTCAGGATGTTACGGTTACTGTGAAGGGAGATATATAGATCCTCAACACTTCAGGACATTACGGTAACTGCGAAGGGAGATATATAGATCCTCAATACTTCAGGACAAAAGGTAACTGCGAAGGGAGATATATAGATCTTCAATACTTCAGGACATTACAGAAACTGCGAAGGGAGATATATAGATCCTCAATACTTCAGGACATTACGATAACTGCAAAGGGAGATATATAGATCCTCAATACTTCAGGACATGACGGTAACTGTGATGTGAGATATATAGATCCTCAATACTTCAGGACATTACGGTAACTGTGATGGGAGATAAATAGATCATCAATACTTCAGGACATTACGGTAACTGCGAAGGGAGATATATAGATCCTCAATACTTCAGGACATTATGGTAACTGTGATGGGAGATATATAGATCCTCAATACTTCAGGACATTAAGGTAACTGTCATGGGAGATATATAGATCCTCAATACTTCAGGACATTAAGGTGACTGTGATGGGAGATATATAGATCTCAATACTTCAGGACGGTAACTGCGAAGGGAGATATATAGATCCTCAATACTTCAGGACATTACGGTAACTGTAATGGGAGATATATAGATCCTCAATACTTCAGGACATTACAGTAACTGCGAAGAGTGATATATAGATCTCAATACTTCAGGACGGTAACTGCGAAGGGAGATATATAGATCCCCAATACTTCAGGAAATTACAGTAACTGCGAAGGGAGATATATAGATCCTCAATACTTCAGGACATTACAGTAACTGCGAAGGGAGATATATAGATCCTCAATACTTCAGGACATTACAGTAACTGTGAAGGGAGATATATAGATCCTCAATACTTCAGGACATTACGGTAACTGTGAAATGAGATATATAGATCCTCAATACTTCAGGACATTATGGTAACTGTGATGATAGATATATAGATCCTCAATACTTCAGGACATCAGGTAACTGTGATGTGAGATATATAGATCCTCAATACTTCAGGACATTATGGTAACTGCGAAGGGAGATATATAGATCCTCAATAGTTCAGGACATTACGGTAACTGTGATGGGAGATATATAGATCCTCAATACTTCAGGGCATTACGGTAACTGTGATGGGAGATATATAGATCTCAATACTTCAGGACATTACGGTAACTGTAATGGGAGATATATAGATCCTCAATACTTCAGGACATTACGGTAACTGTGACTGGAGATATATAGATTCTCAATACTTCAGGACATTATGGTAACTGTAATGGGAGATATATAGATCCTCAATACTTCAGGACATAACGGTAACTGTGATGGGAGATTTAAGATCCTCAATAGTTCAGGACATTACGGTTACTGTGATGGGAGATATATAGATCCTCAATACTTCAGGACATTACGGTAACTGTGATATGAGATTTAAGATCCTCAATAGTTCAGGACATTACGGTTACTGTGATGGGAGATATATAGATCCTCAATACTTCAGGACATTACGGTAACTGTGATGATAGATATATAGATCCTCAATACTTCAGGACATCAGGTAACTGTGATGTGAGATATATAGATCTTCAATACTTCAGGACATTATGGTAACTGCGAAGGGAGATATATAGATCCTCAACACTTCAGGACATTACAGTAACTGCGAAGGGAGATATATAGATCCTCAATACTTCAGGACGTTACGGTAACTGTGAAGGGAGATATATAGATCCTCAATACTTCAGGACATTATGGTAACTGCGAAGGGAGATATATAGATCCTCAATACTTCAGGAACTAAGGTAACTGCGAAGGGAGATATATAGATCTTCAATTCTTCAGGACATTATGGTAACTGTGAAAGGAGATATATAGATCCTCAACACTTCAGGACATTACAGTAACTGCGAAGGGAGATATATAGATCCTCAATACTTCAGGACGTTACGGTAACTGTGAAGGGAGATATATAGATCCTCAACACTTCAGGACATTATGGTAACTGCGAAGGGAGATATATAGATCCTCAATACTTCAGGACGTTACGGTTACTGTGAAGGGAGATATATAGATCCTCAACACTTCAGGACATTACGGTAACTGCGAAGGGAGATCTATAGATCCTCAATACTTCAGGATGTTACGGTTACTGTGAAGGGAGATATATAGATCCTCAACACTTCAGGACATTACGGTAACTGCGAAGGGAGATATATAGATCCTCAATACTTCAGGACAAAAGGTAACTGCGAAGGGAGATATATAGATCTTCAATACTTCAGGACATTACAGTAACTGCGAAGGGAGATATATAGATCCTCAATACTTCAGGACATTACAGTAACTGTGATGTGAGATATATAGATCCTCAATACTTCAGGACATTAAGGTAACTGTGAAGGGAGATATATAGATCCTCAATACTTCAGGACATTACGGTAACTGCGAAGGGAGATATATAGATCCTCAATACTTCAGGACATTACGGTAACTGTGAAGGGAGATATATAGATCCTCAATACTTCAGGACATTAAGGTAACTGTCATGGGAGATATATAGATCCTCAATACTTCAGGACATTACGGTGACTGTGATGGGAGATATATAGATCTCAATACTTCAGGACGGTAACTGCGAAGGGAGATATATAGATCCTCAATACTTCAGGACATTACGGTAACTGTAATGGGAGATATATAGATCCTCAATACTTCAGGACATTACAGTAACTGCGAAGGGAGATATATAGATCTCAATACTTCAGGACGGTAACTGCGAAGGGAGATATATAGATCCCCAATACTTCAGGACATTACAGTAACTGCGAAGGGAGATATATAGATCCTCAATCCTTCAGGGCATTACAGTAACTGTGATGGGAGATATATAGATCTCAATACTTCAGGACATTACGGTAACTGTAATGGGAGATATATAGATCCTCAATACTTCAGGACATAACAGTAACTGTGAAGGGAGATATATAGATCCTCAATACTTCAAGACATTACAGTAACTGCGAAGGGAGATATATAGATCCTCAATACTTCAGGACATTACAGTTACTGCGAAGGGAGATATATAGATCCTCAACACTTCAGGACATTACAGTAACTGCGAAGGGAGATATATAGATCCTCAATACTTCAGGACATTACAGTAACTGCGAAGGGAGATATATAGATCCTCAATACTTCAGGACATTACAGTTACTGCGAAGGGAGATATATAGATCCTCAATACTTCAGGACATTACGGTAACTGCGAAGGGAGATATATAGATCCTCAATACTTCAGGACATAAGGTAACTGCAAAGGGAGATATATAGATCCTCAATACTTCAGGACATTACAGTAACTGCGAAGGGAGATATATAGATCCTCAATACTTCAGGACATTACGGTAACTGGGAAGGGAGATATATAGATCCTCAATACTTCAGGACATTATGGTAACTGCAAAGGGAGATATATAGATCCTCAATACTTCAGGACATTACGGTAACTGTGATGGGAGATATATAGATCCTCAATACTTCAGGACATTACAGTAACTGCGAAGGGAGATATATAGATCCTCAATACTTCAGGACATTATGGTTATTGCGAAGGGAGATATATAGATCCTCAATACTTCAGGACATTACGGTAACTTTGATGGGAGATATATAGATCCTCAGTACTTCAGGACATTATGGTAACTGTGATGGGAGATATATAGATCCTCGATACTTACGGTAACTCAATAACTCGGCATCTTCATGTGCAGGATGAAGCGGAAGCGGAAGATGGTCCTGCTCATCATGCCGTCTCTGCTGCCCAACCGATGTTCACGTCATGTATATCCTGCACCGCCTCCACCAATGTCCTGTGTCAGGGGTCACTTCCTGTTTACCTGTTGCTCACGTTGTCGGTGCTGACCGTGCTCTGCGTTTGTACCTTCATCCCGCCTTCACAAAAGAGCATCCTGAATGTGGGGGTGCCATCTTCTACTCTGATACGTAAGTCTGTCCACATCCTAGCTTCCGCATTAATGAGGAAGGTAACTTGAATGTGTCAGTTTATAAACTACATAATGTGTGTTGTGTTGTCCTCAAAGTGTTGTACAATGGCTTATATTCCACCCATTGTTTCAAGATGAGTGTCTATATCGGCATTACAAATGTATTCCAATAAATGTGTCATGTTTCAGGACATGTCCGAATGTATTCTGACAAGCCCGAGTTGTCCGACTTCATCATCAACAGTACCACATTGTCCCTCGTCTCTCGGTTACAGATTCTTGGTGAGATGGGCTATGTGTTACTTTGGTTGTGATACAATTCACAACATTCTTAATGTTGTACATATGGGTTGTTTGTTTGCCTGTCACACTCAGCAATATTACAGTCTGAAGTCTGGACCAGATAATCCAGTGATTGACATCATAATTGAGTATCGATGTATGCAATTGGGATATGATGACATGCATCAACCAAGTCAGCGAACCTGACCACCAGTCACCTCTTACGACAAGCATAGTTGCCTGTGACGGCAAGAATTGGTTGCTGAAGACCTATTCTGACCTGGATCTTTATGGCTCTCATACATGTGGCGAAAGCCTAGCAAGTAAATTTACACATGGAGTTGCAACACTGTTTTCTGTAATTCATTCATGTCAATAAAGAAAATTTCGGATATTTTCTTTTCTATGTGAGCATTAATTACAATTCTTATTATTTATCATTCTTCCAGTTTGACAATGATCTAAAAAACAGACACATTGTTAGGTTATTTTTGTGCTGCACTTACTGGACACTGGAAACATTGATAGATTATTTTGTTTCCATTCGTTTGCAGATTTTGAGAATTGTCATGATGACTTGTTGAGTTGCACGACATTTGCTCGGTGTGAGGCTGCAGAAGGATATGTAACGTGTCGCTGCAAGCGAGGATTTTATGTCAGTGGACAGAGATGTCAAGGTACTTCCGTAGTTTATGTCTGGTGGTATTAATATAACAATTAATAGATACTGATTATTTATTATCCATTTCTGTATTAGTCATTACACAATACTTTTCTTTGTCAATCACTCAATAATATATTTTTGTCTTATGTGCATTTCAATCATTACAGGGTACTTTTCTCTGTCAAGCATTACAGGACAATTTTCTGCTTCAGCCTGCAGCACCTCCTGCCCAGCTGGCCACTACATGTCAGGTGCTTGCTCCGCTTCACGAGATGTCAAATGTAAAAGTGAGTCTTTCCACTGTCACATCATTCATCCATTATGACAAGATGTGAGTTACAGTAAGTCTTTCCACTGTCACATCATTCATCCATGATGACAAGATGTAAGTTACAGTAAGTCTTTCCACTGTCACATCATTCATCCATGGTGACAAGATGTAAGTTACAGTAAGTCTTTCCACTGTCACATCATTCATCCATGATGACAAGATGTAAGTTACAGTAAGTCTTTCCACTGTCACATCATCCATCCATCATGACAAGATGTGAGTTACAGTAAGTCTTTCCACTGTCACATCATTCATCCATGGTGACAAGATGTGAGTTACAGTAAGTCTTTCCACTGTCACATCATTCATCCATGATGACAAGATGTAAGTTACAGTAAGTCTTTCCACTGTCACATCATTCATCCATGATGACAAGATGTAAGTTACAGTAAGTCTTTCCACTGTCACATCATTCATCCATGATGACAAGATGTAAGTTACAGTAAGTCTTTCCACTGTCACATCATTCATCCATGATGACAAGATGTGAGTTACAGTAAGTCTTTCCACTGTCACATCATTCATCCATGATGACAAGATGTGAGTTACAGTAAGTCTTTCCACTGTCACATCATTCATCCATCATGACAAGATGTAAGTTACAGTAAGTCTTTCCACTGTCACATCATTCATCCATGATGACAAGATGTGAGTTACAGTAAGTCTTTCCACTGTCACATCATTCATCCATCATGACAAGATGTGAGTTACAGTAAGTCTTTCCACTATCACATCATTCATCCATGATGACAAGATGTGAGTTACAGTAAGTCTTTCCACTGTCACATCATTCATCCATGGTGACAAGATGTAAGTTACAGTAAGTCTTTCCACTGTCACATCATTCATCCATGATGACAAGATGTGAGTTACAGTAAGTCTTTCCACTGTCACATCATTCATCCATGATGACAAGATGTAAGTTACAGTAAGTCTTTCCACTGTCACATCATCCATCCATCATGACAAGATGTAAGTTACAGTAAGTCTTTCCACTGTCACATCATTCATCCATGATGACAAGATGTAAGTTACAGTAAGTCTTTCCACTGTCACATCATCCATCCATGATGACAAGATGTAAGTTACAGTAAGTCTTTCCACTGTCACATCATTCATCCATGGTGACAAGATGTAAGTTACAGTAAGCCTTTCCACTGTCACATCATTCATCCATGGTGACAAGATGTGAGTTACAGTAAGTCTTTCCACTGTCACATCATTCATCCATGGTGACAAGATGTGAGTTACAGTAAGTCTTTCCACTGTCACATCATTCATCCATGATGACAAGATGAAAGTTACAGTAAGTCTTTCCACTGTCACATCATTCATCCATGATGACAAGATGTAAGTTACAGTAAGTCTTTCCACTGTCACATCATTCATCCATCATGACAAGATGTAAGTTACAGTAAGTCTTTCCACTGTCACATCATTCATCCATGATGACAAGATGTAAGTTACAGTAAGTCTTTCCACTGTCACATCATTCATCCATCATGACAAGATGTAAGTTACAGTAAGTCTTTCCACTGTCACATCATTCATCCATCATGACAAGATGTAAGTTACAGTGAGTCTTTCCACTGTCACATCATTCATCCATCATGACAAGATGTAAGTTACAGTAAGTCTTTCCACTGTCACATCATCCATCCATTATGACAAGATGTGAGTTACAGTAAGTCTTTCCACTGTCACATCATCCATCCATCATGACAAGACGTAAGTTACAGTAAGTCTTTCCACTGTCACATCATCCATCCATTATGACAAGATGTGAGTTACAGTAAGTCTTTCCACTGTCACATCATCCATCCATTATGACAAGATGTGAGTTACAGTAAGTCTTTCCACTGTCACATCATTCATCCATGATGACAAGATGTGAGTTACAGTAAGTCTTTCCACTGTCACATCATTCATCCATGATGACAAGATGTAAGTTACAGTAAGTCTTTCCACTGTCACATCATTCATCCATTATGACAAAATGTGAGTTACAGTAAGTCTTTCCACTGTCACATCATTCATCCATTATGACAAAATGTGAGTTACAGTAAGTCTTTCCACTGTCACATCATTCATCCATGATGACAAGATGTAAGTTACAGTAAGTCTTTCCACTGTCACATCATTCATCCATGATGACAAGATGTGAGTTACAGTAAGTCTTTCCACTGTCACATCATTCATCCATGATGACAAGATGTGAGTTACAGTAAGTCTTTCCACTGTCACATCATTCATCCATGATGACAAGATGTGAGTTACAGTAAGTCTTTCCACTGTCACATCATTCATCCATCATGACAAGATGTAAGTTACAGTAAGTCTTTCCACTGTCACATCATTCATCCATGGTGACAAGATGTGAGTTACAGTAAGTCTTTCCACTGTCACATCATTCATCCATGATGACAAGATGTGAGTTACAGTAAGTCTTTCCACTGTCACATCATTCATCCATGGTGACAAGATGTGAGTTACAGTAAGTCTTTCCACTGTCACATCATTCATCCATGATGACAAGATGTGAGTTACAGTAAGTCTTTCCACTGTCACATCATCCATCCATTATGACAAGATGTAAGTTACAGTAAGTCTTTCCACTGTCACATCATTCATCCATCATGCAAGATGTGAGTTACAGTAAGTCTTTCCACTGTCACATCATTCATCCATGATGACAAGATGTAAGTTACAGTAAGTCTTTCCACTGTCACATCATTCATCCATGATGACAAGACGTAAGTTACAGTAAGTCTTTCCAACTGTCACATCATTCATCCATGATGACAAGATGTAAGTTACAGTAAGTCTTTCCACTGTCACATCAATCATCCATGATGACAAGACGTAAGTTACAGTAAGTCTTTCCACTGTCACATCATTCATCCATGATGACAAGATGTGAGTTACAGTAAGTCTTTCCACTGTCACATCATTCATCCATGATGACAAGATGTAAGTTACAGTAAGTCTTTCCACTGTCACATCATTCATCCATGATGACAAGATGTGAGTTACAGTAAGTCTTTCCACTGTCACATCATTCATCCATGGTGACAAGATGTAAGTTACAGTAAGTCTTTCCACTGTCACATCATTCATCCATGATGACAAGATGTAAGTTACAGTAAGTCTTTCCACTGTCACATCATTCATCCATGATGACAAGATGTAAGTTACAGTAAGTCTTTCCACTGTCACATCATTCATCCATGATGACAAGATGTGAGTTACAGTAAGTCTTTCCACTGTCACATCATTCATCCATGATGACAAGATGTAAGTTACAGTAAGTCTTTCCACTGTCACATCATTCATCCATTATGACAAAATGTGAGTTACAGTAAGTCTTTCCACTGTCACATCATCCATCCATCATGACAAGATGTGAGTTACAGTAAGTCTTTCCACTGTCACATCATTCATCCATGATGACAAGATGTGAGTTACAGTAAGTCTTTCCACTGTCACATCATCCATCCATCATGACAAGATGTAAGTTACAGTAAGTCTTTCCACTGTCACATCATTCATCCATGATGACAAGATGTGAGTTACAGTAAGTCTTTCCACTGTCACATCTTCCATCCATCATGACAAGATGTGAGTTACAGTAAGTCTTTCCAACTGTCACATCATTCATCCATTATGACAAGATGTAAGTTACAGTAAGTCTTTCCACTGTCACATCATTCATCCATTATGACAAGATGTAAGTTACAGTAAGTCTTTCCATTCAGGGGAACAGAAACAGAAACATTATCATTATACATGGCTCAACACTGTGTTCACAGATTGCCATAGACTGCAGGGCCATGAGCTTCAGTTTTTTCTTCCAGAGTGTCATGTTTGCCGTGGATCTACATATGAAGCTGCTCCTTGTACAATGACACAAGACACCATCTGTGTTGGTAAGTCGATCTTTCCCAAGTCCATCCCAAATCTCCACCAACCCCGACAACCGATGACACAAGACACCATCTGTGTTGGTAAGTCCATCTTCCCCAAGTCCATCCCAAATCTCCACCCAACCCCGACAACCGATGACACAAGACACCATCTGTGTTGGTAAGTCCATCTTCCCCAAGTCCATCCCAAATCTCCACCCAACCCCGACAACCGATGACACAAGACACCATCTGTGTTGGTAAGTCCATCTTCCCCAAGTCCATCCCAAATCTCCACCAAACCCCGACAACCGATGACACAAGACACCATCTATGTTGGTTAGTCCATCTTCCCCAAGTCCATCCCAAATCTCCACCCAACCCCGACAACCGATGACACAAGACACCATCTGTGTTGGTAAGTCCATCTTCCCCAAGTCCATCCCAAATCTCCACCCAACCCCGACAACCGATGACACAAGACACCATCTGTGTTGGTAAGTCCATCTTCCCCAAGTCCATCCCAAATCTCCACCCAACCCTGACAACCGATGACACAAGACACCATCTGTGTTGGTAAGTCCATTTTCCCCAAGTCCATCCCAAATCTCCAACCAACCCCGACAACCGATGACACAAGACACCATCTGTGTTGGTAAGTCCATCTTCCCCAAGTCCATCCCAAATCTCCACCCAACCCCGACAACCGATGACACAAGACACCAGCTATGTTGGTTAGTCCATCTTCCCCAAGTCCATCCCAAATCTCCACCCAACCCCGACAACCGATGACACAAGACTCCATCTGTGTTGGTAAGTCCATTTTCCCCAAGTCCATCTCTTAACTCCACCCAACCCCGACAACAAGACACCATCTATGTTGGTTAGTCCATCTTCCCCAAGTCCATCCCTTAACTCCATCCAACCCCGACAACCGATGACACAAGACACCATCTGTGTTGGTAAGTCCATCTTCCCCAAGTCCATCCCTTAACTCCATCCAACCCCGACAACCAACAACACAAGACACCATCTGTGTTGGTAAGTCCATCTTCCCGAAGTCCATCCCAAATCTCCACCCAACCCGACAACCGATGACACAAGACACCATCTGTGTTGGTAAGTCCATTTTCCCCAAGTCCCACCCAAATCTCCACCCAACCCTGACAACCGATGACACAAGACACCATCTGTGTTGGTAAGTCCATTTTCCCCAAGTCCCACCCAAATCTCCACCCAACCCTGACAACAGATGACACAAGACACCATCTGTGTTGGTAAGTCCATTTTCCCCAAGTCCCACCCAAATCTCCACCCAACCCTGACAACCGATGACACAAGACACCATCTGTGTTGGTAAGTCCATCTTCCCCAAGTCATCCCTTAACTTTATCCAACCCCGACAACACAAGACACCATCTGTGTTGGTAAGTCCATCTTCCCCAAGTCCATCCCAAATCTCCACCCAACCCCGACACAACCCCCGCAAATGGTTGTATTGAGTGATGCTGTTGTCTGTTTCAGAAGTGGCATTTCCTGTTGGCATCCTGCCCATGAACTACACACAGCTGCAGGATGGTGAGTAGTACAAGTCTCACACGTGTGTTACTCCAACGTTCCAGAAGAAGTCTCACACATGTGTTACTCCAACGTTCCAATAGAAGTCTCACATGTGTGTGTTACTCCAACGTTCCAGTACAAGTCTCACACGTGTGTTATACTCCATACTTCCAGTAGAAGTCTCACATGTGTGTTACTCCACTGTTCCAGAAGTCTCACACTTTTGTTACTCCCACGTTCCAGTAGTACAAGTCTCATTTTGATCACCTTAACCTCCTTGGTGAATGTGTTATAAATATGACTGTTTTAAAAGACGGAACGTTGGGCAACCTGACCTCGTCGTCAAATGTGTTATGAATACGACTGTTTTACAGATGGCACTTTGATCAACGAGAGGTCATCATCGAAATATGTTTTAATATGACTTTTCCAGATGGCACTTTGATCAACAAGACGTCATCATCGAATATGTTATAAATATGACTGTTTTCCAGATGGAACATTGATCAATGTTACCTCGTCGTCAAATGTGTTCATGGAGCGGCTGCGGGACATGGAGGAGCTGGAGACGCCGATGTATGTGACCAACAATCAGCAGAGCATGGACTACGTGTGGAGGCGCACGTCAGGCCTGAAGATCAAGATTGGCATCTCGGATGTGTACCTGGTGCCTGAGTATGTGGACATTGACCATGTTGATGACAATGCCTACTTCCACATGAACAAAAACATCTCATCTACTCTGAAAGAGAAGTTTCAGGATACAGAAAAAAGTTACTGTCGGTAAGAACAAGCTAGAAATGAGCAAGATTTTATTTTCAAAAACACGTTGCAAAATGTAGGTTTTTACTTTACCTGACGCTACACAGTGCTATAGGTGTAGCGTCATGTAAGTATAAAAACATTGAATTAAATAAGAAATTCTCATATTTGTGGTAGACAAATTGTTTTCCAGTTACATGAAACATTTTTTTTCTTCACAAATTTTCGGGAACTATTTATATCTTGGATAAAATCCAAGGCCCCCCCCTACCCCACTTTGAATATGAAATTGTTGGCCCCTAAGTTCCTTCAATTACTGTTTCAGAGACCCAATGCCGGACTTCTACAGCCTCTATCTGCACATCTTCCGCCACCGCATCACTGCAGCGAAGTCCGTGACTTGTTCGTCCAAGGACCACTCTATCCGCTGTCCACCCGGCTACAAAGATGGCCAGTCCCACCTCCGCCGCTACATCAACATGCCCTGCCACAAGTATGAGGTGAAGGAACACACTGGCTTCAGTTGGAGTTTACTGTGGATCTAAATCGATCCCAATGTTGCAGTAGATAATTCCCTTGACATCCCTACACTGATCTGCTCTTGATGCTGTCACTTTACTTATCAATGTATACATCTCACTTTAACATGACAAACAAGTCACACACACATGACATACAGATCTTATGAACATGACACAGGTCACAGAAACATGACGTACATATTTCATAAACATGACATACAGATTGAATATCCATGACAAATAACATAAACATGACATATTGGGATCGAGTGGTCGGACTCGCTGACTTCGTTGATGCATGTAATTGAATCCCAATTGCTTTGTTTGATGCTCATTATGTCAATCACTGGATTGTCTGGTCTAGACTCGATTATTTACAGACTGTCATCATATATTTGGAATGTTGCTGTCACTTTAAAATGGCATACAAATCACATAAACATGGCATACAGATCACATTAACATGACATACATATCACTTCAATGTGACATACCATCCAGTTTAACATGACATGCACACCACATTAACATGACATATGTGACACTTCATACATATTTCATACATATTTCATAATATGACATACACATAACGTGAAATACAGAATACATAAACATGACATACTAATAACATAAACATTTAATAAATGTCACTTAAACATGGCATACAAGTCATATGAACATGACATACTTGTCACTTAAACATGGCATACAAGTCATATAAACATGACATACAGGTCACTTAAACATGGCATACAAGTCATATAAACATGACATACTTGTCACTTAAACATGGCATACAAGTCATATAAACAAGACATACTTGTCACTTAAACATGGCATACAAGTCATATGAACATGACATACTTGTCACTTAAACATGGCATACAAGTCATATTAACATGACATACTTGTCACTTAAACATGGCATACAAGTCACTTAAACATGGCATACAGATCACCTAAACATCAAATATATATTTATCAACATGGAATATACATTTGCCCTGTGTTCCACAGATCAACCGGCGGCAGAACCTGACGGAGCTCCGTGACACCCATAACAGTGTTGTGTGCACTGACAATACACCGCTCTCCCTCATCTTCGGGATGCCCAACCCGGCCAAGGAGCCCATGAGATTCCCCTCAGAAGACTGCAAGTTTAATCAGGAAGAGTGTCAGAAGTGTTTACAGAGAGATTCCTGCATCAAGAGTGGTAAGCATGGCGGGAGTGCACAGTGTGAGGTGCAAGAGTTGTGTACAAAGTGTGGCTCTACTGGCTGCAGTGTCTGCACTCACTCATCATCTGCAATCTGTTTCAGGTAACTCAACAGGTGTACCGGAGTGCTGCAACATTGAATGTTACAAGATGCCCACATGTAACCAGGCTTTCAGCTCTTCCTGTCCTCTCGCTGGTGTCGAGTGTGCCAAGGGTACGTTCTGTCATGTGTAATATATACCAAGGACTTGGCTGTCTAGTCTCTCAGTCATGTGTAATATATACCAAGGACTTGGCTATCTAGTCTCTCAGTCATGTGGAATATATACCAAGGACTTGGCTGTCTAGTCTCTCAGTCATGTGGAATATATGCCAAGGACTTGGCTGTCTAGTCTCTCAGTCATGTGTAATATATACAAAGAACTTGGGAGCCTAATCTCTGTCATGTGGATTTTGTGGATTTAAAAAAAATAATTTATGTTTAACGCCGCAATCCACAATATTCCAGCTATATGACGGCAGTCTGTAAATAATCAAGTCTGGACCAGACAATCCAGTGATTGATATCATAAGCATTGATCCACACAATTGGGATATAATGACATGCATCAACCAAGTCAAAAAGCCTGACCACCAGTTCCCGTTAGTTGCCTCTTGACAAGCATGGGTTGCTGAAGACCAATTCTAACCCAGATCTTCATGGGTTCAGTGATGTGGAATATACCAAGGACTCGTGAGTCTAGTCTCTGTCATGTGGAATATATCAAGGACTTGGGAATCTTGTCTCTCAGTCACATGGTATATACCTTGGACTTGGGAGTCTAGTCTCTGTCATGTGGAATATATCAAGGACTTGGGAATCTTGTCTCTCAGTCACATGGTATATACCAAGGACTCGTGAGTCTAGTCTCTGTCATGTGGAATATATCAAGGACTTGGGAATCTTGTCTCTCAGTCACATGGAATATACCAAGGACTCGTGAGTCTAGTGTCTGTCATGTGGAATATATCAAGGACTTGGGAATCTTGTCTCTCAGTCACATGGTATATACCTTGGACTTGGGAGTCTAGTCTGTCATGTGGAATATATCAAGGACTTGGGAATCTTGTCTCTCAGTCACATGGTATATACCAAGGACTCGTGAGTCTAGTCTCTGTCATGTGGAATATATCAAGGACTTGGGAATCTTGTCTCTCAGTCACATGGTATATACCTTGGACTTGGGAGTCTAGTCTCTGTCATGTGGAATATATCAAGGACTTGGGAATCTTGTCTCTCAGTCACATGGAATATACCAAGGACTCGTGAGTCTAGTCTCTGTCATGTGGAATATATCAAGGACTTGGGAATCTTGTCTCTCAGTCACATGGTATATACCTTGGACTTGGGAGTCTAGTCTCTGTCATGTGGAATATATCAAGGACTTGGGAATCTTGTCTCTCAGTCACATGGTATATACCTTGGACTTGGAGTCTAGTCTAAGTAACAATTATGCTGTTTAAGTTATCAAGTCAATCATAAGTTGTTCAATTAACAAGTCTTTCATAATGTGTTTAAAGTTACATGTCAATCATAAGATGTTAGCAATTCAGCCACTGTGCTGTTTCAACAAGTGAATCATTAAACAGTTTACAACACATTTGCTATTTCATGTGACTAGTCAGTCATCAGCCGTCAAGTAAGACAAGAGAGCATGTACCTGTCTGGTAATCCTGTTGATATGTGTTCTTGCAGGCGAGGTTTACATGTTCACCTTGTCCCCAGTGTTTGAGAAGATGTACAAGCGATACATGTGTCACGTGAAGTACAAGAAACCGTCTATTCTCTACAACATCAACTACCAAGTCCGCATTCCCTCCCTCAACTACCACATCGAGCAGCGAAACTTCACCATCAACGTGGATACCCTGCAGTCACATCGGCAGATGTCCACACACCTCGACTTCCTCAATGTGCAGCACAACACCTGGTTTGACTTTGAGGACGAGATGATCGTGATTGCCAACCATGCAGACATCGTGAAGGAGATGGGGGAACTGTCGCTGCACCCCCTTAAGTCCCCTTCCGACTTCACCAGCCGCCCCCACAACTCCAAAAAGGACTTTGGAACCCAGATGTACACCTACATCCAGTTTGATGTGCCCTTCCGCTATAGCTCTGTCACCTGGATGAATGGAGGCTGTGAGAAGAATCTGTCACGTGTGCATCCCAACCAGACACTGTACAAGTCAAACTCTGTCCGTGTTGCAGCCAAGATCCTGAAGGAAAAGGAGGAGATGCATTACCAGATGTATCGCACGGACCGCTCACCCCTCATCAGACTCTTTGTCAACAGTAAGTTCATCCCGATCTGTGTCTCCAGTAGAGATCAACTGCCAAATGCTGCCTGTTAGTGCTAAATGCTTCATATCTTCTTTCGAGATTAGTTGTTGAAGGATGCTGACTCTTGACAAGTGTTTTTTTGTTGGCACATATGACATGAACCTATCATGTGATATTTCCTTCATCTGCAGAGAGTCAGTCGGTTCTGTCCAGCTTCCAGTCTCAGCTGACTGGCTCCATCCTGGTGCCCTCCGCCCTCCAGACTGCCATCACCTGGTCTCCACAGCAACAGGCTTGGGCTATCAACATCACAGGTAGTCAGGGTTTTCTGCTCACATTGCCTTTCTCAAGTATTCAAAAGTTGACAAATTGTTTGGGTTAGGTTTTAGTTTCTGTAGACGCCTGGATTAATATCATTGTCAAGTTTTCTTCTCTGAAAACAAATCAGCTCCTACTGTAATCAAATCAAGTTCTGATTCATGGGCTTTCATAGGCTATTAAATCCCAGTTATTAATTCAGCAACCATAAGTAACTTCTGCTTCAATTCATGAATCAGAATTAACTTTGGCTTCTATACAGGGACTGTAAATAACTTCTGCTTCAATTCAGGAACAGGAATAAACTTCTGCTTCAATTCATGAACCGTAATTAACTTTGGCTTCTATACAGGAACCGTAAATAACTTCTGCTTCAATTCAGGAACTGTAATAAACTTCTGCTTCAATTCATGAACCGTAATTATCTTTGGCTTCTATTCAGGAACCTTAATTAACTTCTGCTTCAATTAAGGAACTGTAATTAACTTCTGCTTCAGGTTCCTTGATTGGATACCCAGGTGTGGTTGGAGTTCAGATATTTGACAAGATGATGACTCGCTGTATCGGCTACTTTGATGTCCTCATCACTGACCGGCCCCAATTCCATGTCCAGTTTAATGTGTCCAGCTCACAGCCTCAGCTCCCCGACATCTTCATGGTGCTTCTCAATGACTCAGTCACTTCCCACCGTGTTGTCCTCTCCTCCATGGTCCTTCCACAACCCATCTCTATGGCAACAGTGGACCTGCATCAGGCCAGCCGAGCACAGGCAGCCCCCTCCCACTCCTCCATCTGGCTCCCAGTCATCGTCACCGTCACATTGTCACTCGTCACCATCCTGGTTGTGTTTGTTGTGTATGTCTGTGTCCACCTGAGATCGAGACATTCAGCAGAGGAGCTGGTGAAAACGGAGTCAGTGCTGCTGAATAATGCTGATGCTGTGAAGGTCCCGGACAAGATCTACAGCACCTCCTCTTCCAGGGCAGTGGCCTCCAGAACCGTTGTGTTCGCCTTCATCCTCCTCTACATCACGTATTCCATCGTGTTCACATTCTCTGTGGCTTTTGGAATTCTTTACTTCTCACATCTCACAGCATTATCCAATTTCACAAGAGTGTCCAACCTGACAGAGAAGCTCCATCAGGAAGTCAGCATGTCAATGAATGAACTTAAAACCTTTGAAAAAACAGAAATCCGTTATTTAAAGAAATTGTTCCGGCAGCGGAAAGATGCCTGCATGGAACACCTCAACAGGGAGAACTCGGATGTGCTGAGTCAGCAAGTGAATCTGCTGAACAAGCAGCTGCAGGTCATCTATGTCCAGAATGGATCCCTCCAGTATCTGTCTGACAACGTCGCTGAAGTAAATGCTGAAAGGCACATAGAAAAAATACAAATGTTTATAAAAGAATGTAATAACAGTGTTCAAAAGCATTTCCATCGATTGACTGAGAAGTATTACAGTGAGCTGGAAGAAGTATCCAGGAATGGGTGGCTGGACTTCCCCCGGGACATGTTTCTGGGGCAGACCAAGAGCGGGGAAGACGTCAGCCCCATGTCTGCATCTCACCTGCAGAAGTTCATGGCCTGGCTACAGATGGACAAAGCTGATGCCCTGCTGCAGGGCCAGGAGACACTGGCCAACAGGTACGATGTTCTTGATGCCCATTTATAGCTACTGACTGAAATGTCATAGCCTGTTTTTTTGTCACCGACTGTTTGTCTTCATAATCCTAACATCATCATCGTCAGTCATAAACATCTTCGCCTTGAACCCAATTAATAAAGCTGAAACTATCTCATGATAAAATTGCATTTTATTCAAGATATTTAAATTTGAGTTTCACTATTGCCAATGTATTGATAAAACTGTTTATGACCAAAATGAAACTTGGAATGTGTTCAGTTAGAAGTGGGACTCCGCTTTTCATTATTTCTTCTCTTTAACTGTTTAGACCATATTCTTAAGTTCTCTCAAAACGGATTCTTGCACTGTTGTTATCAGCATAGAAGCACTGGACCAGTGAAGCTGAAACTTCACTTGTCCCCCCAGTTTGTTCCTGCATGTCACATTGAAACCTATTTATGGCCATAACACACATAGTTGTTCAAGATTTATTGAAATTTGGAAAATGATTTGTATGAATACTTTTCTTTCAGATTGGAGTCACTAGTTCCTTCTTTCCAGTCGTTGATTGCCACCAACATCAACTCAGTCCAGGCGAACAGTGTCCCCTCCATCCAAGTCAGCAACAGCAGCCTGCAAGCCTACAAGTATGTGGTCATGAAGAGGACTCTGGACACTCCAGACAAGGGACACGTTGATGGCAAAAACAGAACCACAAGTAGTGTGGAGACAATAGACATGAAGTTGAACTCTATATTGTACATCGCCATGACTTTGTTTCTACTGATGGACATTTTCCTGTGGGTGTTCCGTCTTGCATGGTTGTACACACAAGTTCAGGAGGCCAATCAAGGATGCGAAGAGCTCATTCCGCAGGACGAGGCAGCCAGAAAAGTCCTTGAGACGAAGACGGGTCAGAATCCCCCCCGACAGTTTGATGCTTTGGAGCATCCCTATGTTCTCTCACACAATGACAACGTGAACCAGGACAATGAACTCAATGTGTACTTCTGTCAGTCATATCCACGTTCAAAGGAAGATATTTTGCGAGACATTTGGGCTCAAAAGTTGGCCACAAAGCCGAAGACTTCCAGAGAGAAGCTTGAGGACATTTGGATGGTGCAGGACATTATGGCCTGTATGTGTTGGCTGCACCGCGCCCTCATGTCGAAGCTGCTGTGGCGATTCCTGTACACCGCCGCTGTCATCCTCTTTGTATGCTGCATCATGTACGTCGTGGACTCCTGGCTCTGTGCCGACAACTTCCACTCACTGGTTGGCTCAGATCTCCTCATGTCTGAGCTGGAATGGCAGGCTCAGACTGTGAATAGTCATGTGTCTACTGTAGCTGATATGATGAACACCATTCTGCAGGAGCTGAAGGTGTCGGTGGACTACGACGTAGAGACAACCAATGTGTTGCTGTTCCATACATGGGAGACTCAGGTAGGTGACACTCTTACATTCACCAGGAACCTACAAAGATGTTTCAGTTTGAGATGATGAATGATGTACATGGTTGGTAAAATGTTCAGAAATTATGTGACTGTGTTGCAGATGTCTGTTCTGACGTCGATGTTATCCAACTTGTGCAACAGCTCTAATGCTGTAACCTGCAACCTCACCTTCCTCAATACTCCACATCAACAGCCGCTGTCATCCTGCAACTTCCTGCCACTGAAGGTCAACACATATACAGGTAAATATGTAATAAATTATCTCACCTCTGCCATTGACGGTCAAGACATATACAGTAAATATGTAATAAATTATCTCACCTCTACCACTGAAGGTCAACACATATACAGGTAAATATGTAATAAATTATCTCACCTCTGCCATTGACGGTCAAGACATATACAGTAAATATGTAATAAATTATCTCACCTCTACCAGTGAAGGGCAACACATATACAGTAAATATATGACATCAATGCATCAACGCGAGTCTTGACAGGAATATCTGAACCCCACCTCTCAAGGTTGTCATAGTTAACTCATGTTTGATATCATGCATTTTTGCTGAAGCACTTATTTACTTTGTGTCTTCTTTTCCAGACTTGGACATCCTAAAGTTAAAGAGTTTGGTTATAACAGAGTTGTCTCCCCTTCTGGAAATGTCAAGGCACCTTGTGTTTATGACTGCATATATTGTGATTGTGTTATTGTGTGCACGAATTGTGTGTCAAGTGACAGCAAGGACTGTGAAGGACTACCTCATTGTGTCAGGGCACTTGCCCCGAGCAAGGATTTATCAGTTCAGTAACACAATGACAGGGATGTCTGACGATCCCCACGATCAGGAGAAGGAGATTCACCGCAGTGCATCCTGGTTAGAGAGTTGTGAGAGTGGTGTGTATGTTGGAGACAACGATGACTCCGCCAGAGAGTCAACAATATGATCCACTGCAGTGCATCCTGGGAAGAGAGTTGTGAGAGACGTCTATGTGTTTGAAGATATGATGACTTGGCCAGAGACGTCTATGTGTTTGAAGATATGATGACTTGGCCAGAGACGTCTATGTGTTTGAGAATATGACAACTCGGCCAGAGTCAACAACATGATCCACCGCAGTGCAACCTGGGTAGAGAGTTGTGAGTGATGTCTTTGTGTTGGAGACAATAATAACAGCCAGATTCAACAATGTGATCCACCCAATGGGAAGAGAGTTGTGAGATTGATATTCTTGTGAGAGACAACAATGACTCTGACAGATTCCAAAATATAATCCACAAAGTGCATCATGGGTAGTGTCAACAATATGATCCACCGCAGTGCATCATGGGTAGAAAGTTGTGAGAGATGTCTGTGTGTCAGAGACAATGATGACTCGGCCAGAGAGTCAACCATGTGATCCACCGCAGTGCATCATGGGTAGAAAGTTGTGAGAGATGTCTGTGTGTCAGAGACAATGATGACTCGGCCAGAGAGTCAACAATATGATCCACCGCAGTGCATCATGGGTAGAAAGTTGTGAGAGATGTCTGTGTGTCAGAGACAAATGATGACTCGGCCAGAGAGTCAACCATGTGATCCACCGCAGTGGAACATGGGTAGAGAGCTGTAAGAGACGTCTATGTGTTGAAAACAGCCAGATTCAACAATGTCATCCATAGAGTTGGTAGAGAGTTGTGAGAGCGATGTGTTTGTTGGAGACAATGATGACTCATTTGGCCACAATCAAGATGGGGGATTGTGAGAGCTATATACATGTTGGCTGTGAGTGTGGCCACTATCAAGATGGTGGGTTGTGAGAGCTATATACATGTTGGATGTGAGTGTGGCCACTATCTTGATGAAGGATTGGAGAGCTATATACATGTTGGCTGTGAGTGTGGCCACAATCAAGATGGAGGATTGTGATAGCTATATACATGTTGGCTGTGAGTGTGGTCACTATCAAGATGGGGGATTGTGAGAGCTATATACATGTTGGCTGTGAGTGTGGTCACTATCAAGATGGAGGATTGTAAGAGCTATATACATGTTGGCTGTGAGTGTGGCCACTATCAAGATGGAGGATTGTAAGAGCTATATACATGTTGGCTGTGAGTGTGGTCACTATCAAGATGGAGGATTGTAAGAGCTATATACATGTTGGCTGTGAGTGTGGCCACTATCTTGATGGAGGATTGTAAGAGCTATATACATGTTGGCTGTGAGTGTGGCCACTATCAAGATGGGGGATTGTGATAGCTATATACATGTTGGCTGTGAGTGTGGCCACAATCAAGATGGGGGATTGTGAGAGCTATATACATGTTGGCTGTGAGTGTGGCCACAATCAAGATGGAGGATTGTGATAGCTATATACATGTTGGCTGTGAGTGTGGCCACTATCTTGATGGAGGATTGTAAGAGCTATATACATGTTGGCTGTGAGTGTGGCCACTATCAAGATGGGGGATTGTGAGAGCTATATACATGTTGGCTGTGAGTGTGGCCACTATCAAGATGGAGGATTGTGAGAGCTATATACATGTTGGCTGTGAGTGTGGCCACTATCTTGATGGAGGATTGTAAGAGCTATATACATGTTGGCTGTGAGTGTGGCCACTATCAAGATGGGGGATTGTGAGAGCTATATACATGTTGGCTGTGAGTGTGGCCACAATCAAGATGGAGGATTGTAAGAGCTATATACATGTTGGCTGTGAGTGTGGCCACTATCTTGATGAAGGATTGGAGAGCTATATACATGTTGGCTGTGAGTGTGGCCACTATCAAGATGGAGGGTTGTAAGAGCTATATACATGTTGGCTGTGAGTGTGGTCACTATCAAGATGGAGGGTTGTGAGAGCTATATACATGTTGGCTGTGAGTGTGGCCACTATCAAGATGGTGGATTGTTAGAGCTATATACATGTTGGCTGTGAGTGTGGTCACTATCAAGATGGAGGGTTGTGAGAGCTATATACATGTTGGATGTGAGTGTGGCCACTATCAAGATGGAGGGTTGTGAGAGCTATATACTTGTTGGATGTGAGTGTGGCCACTATCAAGATGGAGGGTTGTGAGAGCTATATACTTGTTGGCTGTGAGTGTGGCCAGTATCAAGATGGTGGATTGTGAGAGCTACATACATGTTGGCTGTGAGTGTGGTCACTATCAAGATGGAGGATTGTAAGAGCTATATACATGTTGGCTGTGAGTGTGGTCACTATCAAGATGGAGGATTGTAAGAGCTATATACATGTTGGCTGTGAGTGTGGCCACTATCAAGATGGAGGGTTGTGAGAGCTATATACATGTTGGCTGTGAGTGTGGCCACTATCAAGATAGAGGGTTGTGAGAGCTACATACATGTTGGCTGTGAGTGTGGCCACTATCAAGATGGAGGATTGTAAGAGCTATATACTTGTTGGCTGTGAGTGTGGTCACTATCAAGATGGAGGATTGTAAGAGCTATATACATGTTGGCTGTGAGTGTGACCACTATCAAGATGGTGGGTTGTGAGAGCTACATACATGTTGGATGTGAGTGTGGCCACTATCTTGATGAAGGATTGTAAGAGCTATATACATGTTGGCTGTGAGTGTGGCCACTATCAAGATGGAGGGTTGTAAGAGCTATATACATGTTGGCTGTGAGTGTGGTCACTATCAAGATGGAGGGTTGTGAGAGCTATATACATGTTGGCTGTGAGTGTGGCCACTATCAAGATGGTGGATTGTTAGAGCTATATACATGTTGGCTGTGAGTGTGGTCACTATCAAGATGGAGGGTTGTGAGAGCTATATACATGTTGGATGTGAGTGTGGCCACTATCAAGATGGAGGGTTGTGAGAGCTATATACTTGTTGGATGTGAGTGTGGCCACTATCAAGATGGAGGGTTGTGAGAGCTATATACTTGTTGGCTGTGAGTGTGGCCAGTATCAAGATGGTGGATTGTGAGAGCTACATACATGTTGGCTGTGAGTGTGGTCACTATCAAGATGGAGGATTGTAAGAGCTATATACATGTTGGCTGTGAGTGTGGTCACTATCAAGATGGAGGATTGTAAGAGCTATATACATGTTGGCTGTGAGTGTGGCCACTATCTTGATGGAGGATTGTAAGAGCTATATACATGTTGGCTGTGAGTGTGGCCACTATCAAGATGGGGGATTGTGATAGCTATATACATGTTGGCTGTGAGTGTGGCCACAATCAAGATGGGGGATTGTGAGAGCTATATACATGTTGGCTGTGAGTGTGGCCACAATCAAGATGGAGGATTGTGATAGCTATATACATGTTGGCTGTGAGTGTGGCCACTATCTTGATGGAGGATTGTAAGAGCTATATACATGTTGGCTGTGAGTGTGGCCACTATCAAGATGGGGGATTGTGAGAGCTATATACATGTTGGCTGTGAGTGTGGCCACTATCAAGATGGAGGATTGTGAGAGCTATATACATGTTGGCTGTGAGTGTGGCCACTATCTTGATGGAGGATTGTAAGAGCTATATACATGTTGGCTGTGAGTGTGGCCACTATCAAGATGGGGGATTGTGAGAGCTATATACATGTTGGCTGTGAGTGTGGCCACAATCAAGATGGAGGATTGTAAGAGCTATATACATGTTGGCTGTGAGTGTGGCCACTATCTTGATGAAGGATTGGAGAGCTATATACATGTTGGCTGTGAGTGTGGCCACTATCAAGATGGAGGGTTGTAAGAGCTATATACATGTTGGCTGTGAGTGTGGTCACTATCAAGATGGAGGGTTGTGAGAGCTATATACATGTTGGCTGTGAGTGTGGCCACTATCAAGATGGTGGATTGTTAGAGCTATATACATGTTGGCTGTGAGTGTGGTCACTATCAAGATGGAGGGTTGTGAGAGCTATATACATGTTGGATGTGAGTGTGGCCACTATCAAGATGGAGGGTTGTGAGAGCTATATACTTGTTGGATGTGAGTGTGGCCACTATCAAGATGGAGGGTTGTGAGAGCTATATACTTGTTGGCTGTGAGTGTGGCCAGTATCAAGATGGTGGATTGTGAGAGCTACATACATGTTGGCTGTGAGTGTGGTCACTATCAAGATGGAGGATTGTAAGAGCTATATACATGTTGGCTGTGAGTGTGGTCACTATCAAGATGGAGGATTGTAAGAGCTATATACATGTTGGCTGTGAGTGTGGCCACTATCAAGATGGAGGGTTGTGAGAGCTATATACATGTTGGCTGTGAGTGTGGCCACTATCAAGATAGAGGGTTGTGAGAGCTACATACATGTTGGCTGTGAGTGTGGCCACTATCAAGATGGAGGATTGTAAGAGCTATATACTTGTTGGCTGTGAGTGTGGTCACTATCAAGATGGAGGATTGTAAGAGCTATATACATGTTGGCTGTGAGTGTGACCACTATCAAGATGGTGGGTTGTGAGAGCTACATACATGTTGGATGTGAGTGTGGCCACTATCTTGATGAAGGATTGTAAGAGCTATATACATGTTGGCTGTGAGTGTGGCCACTATCAAGATGGAGGGTTGTAAGAGCTATATACATGTTGGCTGTGAGTGTGGTCACTATCAAGATGGAGGGTTGTGAGAGCTATATACATGTTGGCTGTGAGTGTGGCCACTATCAAGATGGTGGATTGTTAGAGCTATATACATGTTGGCTGTGAGTGTGGTCACTATCAAGATGGAGGGTTGTGAGAGCTATATACATGTTGGATGTGAGTGTGGCCACTATCAAGATGGAGGGTTGTGAGAGCTATATACTTGTTGGATGTGAGTGTGGCCACTATCAAGATGGAGGGTTGTGAGAGCTATATACTTGTTGGCTGTGAGTGTGGCCAGTATCAAGATGGTGGATTGTGAGAGCTACATACATGTTGGCTGTGAGTGTGGTCACTATCAAGATGGAGGATTGTAAGAGCTATATACATGTTGGCTGTGAGTGTGGTCACTATCAAGATGGAGGATTGTAAGAGCTATATACATGTTGGCTGTGAGTGTGGCCACTATCAAGATGGAGGGTTGTGAGAGCTATATACATGTTGGCTGTGAGTGTGGCCACTATCAAGATAGAGGGTTGTGAGAGCTACATACATGTTGGCTGTGAGTGTGGCCACTATCAAGATGGAGGATTGTAAGAGCTATATACATGTTGGCTGTGAGTGTGGCCACTATCAAGATGGAGGATTGTAAGAGCTATATACATGTTGGCTGTGAGTGTGGCCACTATCAAGATGGAGGATTGTAAGAGCTATATACATGTTGGCTGTGAGTGTGGCCACTATCAAGATGGAGGGTTGTGAGAGCTATATACATGTTGGCTGTGAGTGTGGTCACTATCAAGATGGAGGGTTGCAAGGGCTATATACATGTTGGCTGTGAGTGTGGCCACTATCAAGATGGGGGATTGTGAGAGCTATATACATGTTGGCTGTGAGTGTGGTCACTATCAAGATGGAGGGTTGTAAGAGCTATATACATGTTGGCTGTGAGTGTGGCCACTATCAAGATGGAGGATTGTGAGAGCTATATACATGTTGGCTGTGAGTGTGGCCACTATCAAGATGGAGGGTTATGAGAGCTATATACATGTTGGCTGTGAGTGTGGTCACTATCAAGATGGAGGATTGTAAGAGCTATATACATGTTGGCTGTGAGTGTGGCTACTATCAAGATGGAGGGTTGTGGTGTTAATATTGGCCACAGTGATTGGTGTATACTGACTGTGTACACCCCTACGTCAGTCATGTGGGTCATTAACTTCAAGGAGCAATAGGAGAGTTTGTGTGTTACTCCGATATAGTCACACCGTCGCTGCGTGAATGGTACTGACCTCATTTTTTTCATCTGACTCGATGGTTGCATTATGTTATTTACTGCACAACTTGTTGATTTGTATTATTTATTTTGTTAAGTTTTAGAATGATAAAGCAACTAATCATTTTTTCTATTCATCATTTCTGTGTTACAATGGACACACTGCTTCCTACCTGTTTGTGAAGGAAGATGGGGTGTTGTTCGCTGTGTTCTTGTGTGAGTAGTTCCCTGTTGTGTTGTGTCTGTGACTGTATGCCTGTGTGATGTTTTCTGTGTATATGGGAGTATATGTTATGTGTGGGAGGAAACTGTGTGATGAGGAGACTGGTATAACTGTGTGATTAGGAAACTTTGGCATAATTGTGGGAGAAAACTGTGTGATGAGGGGACGGTGGTATAACTGTGTGATGAGGAGAATGTGGTATAACTATGATGAGAAGACTGTAGTATAACTGTGATGAGACTGTGGTATAACTGTGATGAGGAGACTGTGGTATAACTGTGATGAGGAGACTGTGGTATACCTGTTTGATGAGACTGTGGTATAACTGTGTGATTAGGAGACTGTGGTATAACTGTGTGATGAGGAAACTGTGGTGATGAGACTGTGGTATAACTGTGATGAGACTGTGGTATAACTGTATGATTAGGAAACTGGTATAACTGTGATGAGGAGACTGTGGTATAACTGTGATGAGGAGACTGTAGTATAACTGTGATGAGGAGACTGTGGTATAACTGTGGTGATGAGACTGGTATAACTGTGTGATTAGGAAACTGTGGTATAACTGTGGTGATGAGACTGTGGTATAACTGTGATGAGACTGTGGTATAACTGTGTGATTAGGAAACTGGTATAACTGTGATGAGGAGACTGTGGTATAACTGTGATGAGGAGACTGTGGTATAACTGTGATGAGGAGACTGTGGTATAACTGTGATGAGGAGACTGTGGTGATGAGACTGGTATAACTGTGTGATTAGGAAACTGTGGTATAACTGTGGTGAGGAGACTGTGGTATAACTGTGATGAGACTGTGGTATAACTGTGGTGAGGAGACTGTGGTATAACTGTGTGATTAGGAGACAGGTCGCAGACGTTTACCACGTCAGTGAAACCCACGAGCACAGGTATGGTACTGACAAACTGTGGTGTGACTGTGTGATGAGGAGACTGTGGTATAGCTGTGTGGTGAGGATACAGTGGTGTAAGTGTGATGAGACTGGTATGACTGTGTGACAAGGAGACTGTGGTATAACTGTGTGACAAGGAGACTATGGTATAACTGTGTGATGAGGAGACTGGTATAACTGTGCGATAAGGATACTGTGGTATAACTGTGCGATGAGAATACTGTGGTATAGATGAGGATACTGTGGTATAACTGTTAATGGTGTGTGATGTACTGTGATCATGAGAATTGATTTTTTACATGATTTCTCTGTATATGTACCTTCACATGCTTGAAATGTCTACAACATCATTGGAGTACATTCATATTTATTATAATAAAATGGGGTTTAATACTGATGGACATTTTGTTCTTCTGGGCATGTGGTCAAAGGGAGATAACTCACACTCTCACATGCCCCATACCAGACCTATCTGTGTTTCAGGAACCAGAAATCTCACTGAGCACTGGAGTGGAATATATATATGTGCTTGTCCATGATGTATTTCCTTCAGTTCCTGTCCCACCTTCAGTAATTTAAACCTATTCAATATCTCATCATTGAAACAATGAGTATTTAGTTTGCTCTTTGAAATTCCAGGTTTGGTTAAGTAGATAGCTGTAGCAAGTAGTTTTTTTGCAGCGTTAAACAACAAACAAACAAATCACTTTGAGGACTCTCTACATACTGGTGACAGTCAGTCTCAGCTACGGAGAAGATGGAGCTATGAAAAGTTGTTTGTTTTGTTTGTTTTTGTTTAACACCGCACTCGGCAATATTCCAGCTATATGACGGCGGTCTGCAAATAATCGAGTCTGGACCAGACAATCCAGTGATTGACATCATGAGCATGGATCCACACAGTTGGGATACGATGACATGCATCAACCAAGTCAGCGAGCCTGACCACCCACATCACGTTAGTCGCCTTTTACGACAAATATAGTCACAGACCACAAGGAAACAAAAACCTATTTGAAAGCATGGAATCGACCTGTAAGAAAATTTCAGATAGCGATTTTACATAAAATGCAGGCATCTTCGGTAGGTACAGCTTGGCACACATCGATAGATCGTAACATCGTTGATGCAAATATCGCATTCAAAACATCGAATTTTGAATGAAAAGTTTCTTTTTTCAAGTGTAAGTTTTGAAAATGAGCTGAACAAACCATAAACAAATCAGCTATGTAGGCACTTACCACTTACGACTATGTCAAATCAAAATATGTTATCCAAGTGCAGCGATAGCCTTTTGCGTCGTCTGCTTGAACCGCGCGTGAGCAACAGCGCCCACTATTGCAAGAGTAGCTTCCCTTGAATAATGTTTCGAAAACCTTGGACCAACGATCGAAAACCTACTGAGTACTACTGAGACATTGAACTTTTGCCAGTATGTTTTAATATGTTAAAAGAACTGTAAGATCTGACGAATCCAGTCCGTATTTTTCTCTCACAGTCTGTTTTTTTTATGTGCCGCCAAAATGACCAGTGAATGTGCTATTTGATTTCAAATTTAAATATTAGTTAACATTTTGAGTTTTCACAGAATCATTGTATCAATAACCAAATTGTAAATGTTTTGTGTCACTCATTGGACAGTGTCTATCACGAGCATCGATCGGCCCAGCAGATGATTTAGCCAATGCCGAGGCCGATATTGCCGACGGCGGTCGATTGCTGTTGTGGCCTACTAGATATGTCCATCCTCTTCAACCCTCACTTGGGGCGGTCGGGTAGACTAGTGGTTAAAGCGTTCGCTCGTCACGCCGAAGACCCGGGTTCGATTCCCGACATGGGTACAATGTGTGAAGCCCATTTCTGGTGTCCCCCGCCGTGATATTGCTGGAATATTGCTAAAAGCGGCGTAAAACCATATACACTCACTCACTCACTCAACCCTCACTTTGAAGTCAAATAGAATTCAGCATACATCAGGCACACATGTACAAATACACTTAACAGTTTTAAATACTGTGGGAAATTCCCTGTTCTGCGATATCATCCACTGGCAATTCAGGCAAAGCAAAACTATTGAACATGACCTCTAAAAATTAGGACTGGTACATCGTAAATGTCGCCATTTTGTACACATTATTAAATCAATAACGGCGTTATTTACCACATGTTTTGAAATTTAAATTTCGGACATTTACTGGGGAAAATGAATTTCAAAAATAGCATATTAGTGATCACGGTCTTTTATCAAATCACCAGTGATCATTCCAAAACGTCGCCGATAACCCTAGACTTGTTTAGAATGTTTTGGAAAATACGCAGATCCGAACACAAACTTTCCGCCATATTGGATAGTGTTTAGAAAATCACGTTTCACGTATACCGGTTATGAGACTTGAGTTATAGGTGAGTTAGGGCCATCCATTTCGCTGTTACTTCCTGTTTTATGAAGTACGATTTCATCATTCCTTATGGGTTTTTTATACTATAAACGTATACAGTTTCAATATCGATATTTGTGTTGGAATAGTTTGGTTCCTCGTGAACAAAACACCACGAAAATATATTGTCATTGTCAACAGCTAATTCTCACCAAGAGACTTGAGTTACAATAAACTAGTGCTAAACATAGCGGAGTTATGCTCCCTTTTCGTTGTACGTTGTAAATCAGTTTTCGTCATTTACGGCAGGCTATTTTATGTATTGAATTATAACGTTATACATAAGCATATGAATCCATTTAATATATATTTATGTCGTTCAGATATTAGGCAGTATTTTGTTCGCTCACAGTTTCCGTAAAGCTGCTAATTGAAAAGCATCTTCGCACAGTACATTTTCGGTGTACGAAATTTGCTGTTTTTCAACTCAGAATAAATTCTCGGACAACACTTATGGGTGTCTTTTTTATTCAAACCGGTTTAATATTTGCAGTTAAATTTACACCATTGGATGGGAAATTTAATATTCTACATCTCTGCGTAAGTTTATAGCCGGAGGTAGATCCAGTACCGCGTGAGCGCAATTCTCGCACAACGTTCACTTTTCAGATCTTATGAAAATGTGTGTCAGAAAAAAGAATTCGGCATCCGGCGGGTTTACAACCGACGTCGGCCGGATGTTGGAGTGAGTGAGTGAGTATGGTTTTAACCGACAGCCCCCGATGTTGGAATGCTCACTACACAGAAAAAACGATTGTTTAGCGATTAAACGGTAAACTAAACGGCAAAATGTCTCCACTTTTAAAACGCGTTTAGCGTTTTGTTTCTGAACACTACTTGTTAGTTTCTAAACACCAACGTTTAGGTTTCTAAATATGCATGTTTAGTTACTAAACACCTTGTATTAAACGCTATGCGTTTAGAAAACTAAACGCTGAAATGTCTCCACTTTTAAAACGCGTTTAGCGTTTAGCCTGTATAACTGAATTAAGCTAGAATCAATATCATATGATGTCTTCATACCTATTAAAAGTACATAACTGGGATATACACATTTTTAACAAAAGAAATGTAGAATTAAACATTTTATTTTGCCATCAGGAAACATGTCATTCTAATCACGTCAATCGTGCATGCTTCAACTTTCTTCAAGAAGTGAACACAATTTTTGGTTTTGGAACCAAAGGTTTCCTTGAAAAAGAGTTCTTTCATAACGCCTAACATCTGTGCATACTGCCTCGGGTAATCCAGCCAAGCTACATAGTATATGGCCAGCAGCTGGACCACTGCCCTCCTGAAGTTCCTTATGACAGGAAGGTTTACCCCGTCGGCGTGTATGATTGCCTCAGTTATCCGGTTGTCCTTTACAAAGATCCGAAGCATCGGCCCTACTGGCAACTTTGTTTTCTCGGCTTCCTCGGCAACTCCTGCAACCAACATATATGCGTGATAATAATGATAATAATAATAATAATAATATCATCATACTTAATATTTCTATTATTTTTTTCGTGACATTTATACATCAGTATAGATCTAATAAAGAAAAGAATAACCTTAATCAATACACGCACTGATCTAAAAAAAATACTACCGCCCCCAGCAATTACCTTTAATCAAGTCTTACAAATAACTCCTTACATGCCGAAAATGTCTAATCATTGTAAAATGAAATAGAATAGACAAAAGACGGTAAAAGAGTAAAAGACACCTTTGATTTTTTCCAATATAGAGGTGCTTTTCGCTCCTCGGCCCCTGTCATATCCTGTTTCCCTCACCATATAGCGATCGCGAAGAGCTTCAATATCTTCCATTAGTTCCTGCAAAAGTCAAAGCATGAAATTATTTCTAAATGGACGTACAATAATTAAAATGAATAGTGATCATTTCCAATATAAAGTTTTAGTAATTTTGCTAATCTGAAATAATATGTTTTAGTCTTACATCAGCTTCGTCAGTGGGGGGGCATGACTTCCTTCACGGCGTTGAATAAATCATTTGTTGATTTTTCCACTGACCTCCAAATTTCCCCACTTTTCATTAATTTGATCTCCATGAAAATCTGCAATATATGAAATAATAGATGTAGAATACGAGCAAGATGCTGCAGTGCATGTCACAACAAAGTTTCGGTCATGTTTGTGATATCGGACAAGGGCGATGTTCATAGTTTAAAGGATTACATGTGGCCTAGAAACACATTGAACAAGTAAAATTATCCATTCTTTCCATAACATAAGAATTAGGACAGGCAAAAACAAGTTATTCTGTGATAGACCTACAAGACCATGCACCCCACCAGAGAAGAAAAAAATCCACAAGTAGCAACACCGCTGCTTTCTTAATCAACTCCAAATGCATTGTATTTACAATAAAAATGTATGTAAATCTTCATTCTACATATCCCTACATCGTACTGATTCAATTTATTGCCTTAGATGTTGACCAAATATATGTTTTAACTGCCAAAATAGAAAATAGAAAAAATCACCTGGAAGATCCTCACTGTGGTGTAAGATGGCGTCTCCGTCAAGGGTAAAAGGACGCGTCGAAAGGGCAAGGTCACAGGCGGGATAACTCTTAATCTACACATTAGTCGTTTAGAAACTAAACAGGTGATGAGCCTTTAAATCATACATGACGAATGTGTCCAAAACTATTTATTCACATTAGTTTTTGTTAAAATAGAGACAGTACCACTTGTTTCTTTAATATAATAACTTCTGGGATATTTTGTAAATATAAACGGTATGTGTTTAGAAACTAAACCACTATGTTCATTTACATATAGAAACTAAACTATGACGCTTAGAAACTAAACATGCATGTTTAATCAAACTAAATACACTTCGTTTAGAATGGTGGCGTTATAAATTCAAACTAATTTTATAACAGCTACACAATAGAAAATGCAGTTGTAGAAGTCCACAGTATGTTAAGATATGTGTTGGGTTATTTG